TAAACTTCCTTGGGGAGTTGTCATCTTAGAGAAATAATAGCATTATTAGTACATATGATGCACCCGTGGCTTGACACATTACTAGCACCAAGAAGCAACAATAGCCATCAAGAACGTGTTTTCTGGATATTTGGTCTTATATCGGTCATACTTTTAGTCAAAACCAAAATTCATTTGTGTCTGAATGTGTCAGGATTGCTGTTCAAAATGAAAAATATCAGTGTTGTATACAGAGGCATGCCACTATGCTGGAGGCAAGCTCAGACTTTACAATATTACACCAACATTCAATCTGACAATAATACTGCAATTTGAAGGATGTATGTGTGGAAATTAAACCTGACAGGAGAAAAATGCTACTATTAACGGAAGAAAAAGCACAAACATTTAATGAGTATCATTTTCCATTGAGTTATTTGCAGAGTATTACAACCCTACAAAAACTGCATAACTGATTCAATTTACAGAAGCAACTTATCTGAAAAACTCAACTGGTCATGAAGTTTAGAACTAGACTTGAACAAATGTGACTCTGCTTTCTATTTTTAATTGATCATATTTCAGGCAGTTTTTAAACATATTGGGTATTACCAGCTATACAGGCAACAAAACCCCACAAATCTCAGACACCTCTCTGCTTTGTTTGGTACCATAAGGATTTTTCTGATTATGTTTTCCCTGCAGTTTTCCTCCCCCTCGCCTCCTGGTTTCCTTGTTACAGCCAATTTAATGGAATGAGCATTTTTAGTGCCATGGCAAACACATTTTACTACTCTCTCTCTCTCTCTATTGAGCTAGAACAGTATGGACAGCAGCAACAGAAGCTTATACTTCCCCACCCCCTTTCTGGAGGGACCATCACTAGAGATGAGAAGTAATTCAGTCTCCAGGCCCACAGAGCCCTCTTGCCTCTCTACTGAAAAGGAAGTTTCTATTAGTTTCATGCCAATCATTAGGGTGGATTTTGTGACTGGCAGACCCTTGTCCAATAGAAGCTAGACTGAGATTACCAACTTATTTCTACACAGGAATGAAAACAAGATATTTTGAAAATTGTAACAAACATCACAAGAGAGACCCTTCCCCCCGCAATTGTCTGGTAGTTAGGTTACTGAATAAGGCAGAGCAGGGTTTTGAACCTGAGTCCCCCACATCCCACACAGGTGCCCTCACCACTAGGTGAGAGTCAGTTTCTCTTTTCTCCCTTCCCTCTCCTCTGTTGGAACTGTTCCACTCTGTGTAAATAAAAATGTATTGGGTCAGAGAGAGAGAGAGAGACTTGCTATATAGTTCAGTGGCTAGGGTAAACATTTGAAAGAAACAGATTCAAGTTTCTGTTCTGAATCAAGCCTGAACTAGGTCTCCCACATCCCAGGTGAGTGCCCTAAACACCAAGCTGTTGGGTCTCTGACCAGAAATTCCATCCTGGACCTGAGAAACCTTTAATTGAAATTGATACATTTCCACAAAAAAATTAAGTTTCAACAAATTGGCATTATCTGATGAAAAACATTTCACTGAAAAATTCCTGACTGGCTGCAGTTTGCATTGGTGTGTAGATGAGCCATCAGAAGTGGTACAGCAGGGTATGTCTACACTGCAATTAAAAACCTGTGGCTGTCCACAGCTGACTTGGGCTTGTGGAGCTCGGGCTATGGAGCTGTTTAATTATGGTATTGATGTTTGGGCTTAGGTTGGAGCCTGGGCTCTAGGACCCTGCGAGAATCCCAGAACTTGGGCTGCAGGTCAAACCCAAACATCTACACCACAATTAAACAGCCTCTTAGCCCAAGTTTTGTGACCCCAAGTCAGCAGGCACAGGCCAGCCACAGGTGTCTAATTGCAACATAGACATACCCTTACGAACTCCCTGCATTCTCCAGAGTACTGCATCCTAGCAGGCAGGACAAAAGAAAGCACATAACTCAGATACACGAGGCCTAAGTAGAAAATTATGAAGAAGAATCTAATTCAGTTTGTTGGCAGTAAGAAAAAAAAAATCATTTGATGGACTAAACAGCTGGAAGAGCGTAATTTTCTTGCCAATGAATTCTGTAGTCTGCTTTCTACCTGCATGTAACAGTGCTGAACTGATGAGACAATGCCACTCAACTAGGAGAATGAAACTAGCATTGATCAATTAAGCTGTCACCCTAACAATGTAGGCTTAAATCACTTCTACCATGACTATTTTCCACTAGTGTTTCTAGTCTGGCATCAAATGATTGTTACCCCTTTTACTCCTGGGGGAATTCTGTGCCACTGTGCATGCTCAGCATTCATGTCCCACGGAGAATTTTTTTTTCTCCGCAGAAGATACATTCTGCTGGAGAGGTGCTGCAGTTACACCTTTCGCCTACCAGGGGCTGCTGTGGTGCCAGAACAGAGATAAGCCCTACGTGCAGATGGGGAAGAGAAGAGGCTGTATTTCTCACGGCACCCTGCCCATGTGGCCAGTTCAGGAGACATGGGATATGGGGGGTGGCGGTGGACAGCATGGGGCACATTGGGCTGCTGGAGGGTCACACACTAGGGTTCAGATGAGCTAGTGGGGGGATAGACTGGGGTGGGGCTAAATGGGAGTGTAGTGCAAGAACACCTGGGAACAGGGAGTTGCTGAGTGGGGGTGTAGGGCTACATTGTAACAGGGAGGTGCAGAACCACAAGGGAATGGGGAAGGAGAGTGCAGGGACACTTGGGGACAGGGGCACGTGCCAGACTGAATGAGAGAGGGTAGGAGTCAGCCAGGGTTTGCATGGGGGAGATTACCTAACTCCCTAACAATCCCCCCTACAAAAAAAAACAAAAAACAAAAAAACCTGTTCCATACTTCTCCCATTCACACCCAACAACCCTCCAAGTTCACTCCCAGGCTCCTTCCCAGCAATTACTTGACTCTCCCTCAGCTCCTCCATTACCCCCGACTCCCCTAAGCCTTTGCACTGCTTCTGAGGGGTGCGGGAAATACGTTTCTGTACTGTAGTTTAAATGATTTATTACTCAAAGTTCTGTATTAATATTCCCAGTAAGGACTCTATTTGTTGAAAAACATTTCCTGAATTTTTTGGTCATCTGTATTGTTACAGACATACTGGTTGACAGGTATTTTGAATTAAATTACCAAAATAATTGAAACTGTCATGATTATATTGTGTTATTTTGGCAAATAAACTATGCAGAATTTTAAAATATTGTGCACAGAATTTTTTATTTTTTTGGCACAGAATTCCCCTAGGAGTACTCTTTGCAATTTTCAGTCTCACATCAAACAGAAGGACCACATGCTTCAGGTTAAGTGTTTTATGACTGTGCAAATTCCCTGATGCAAAACTTCCTCTGTGACAATCTTACACACATTTGGATAGATTAAATCAGTTCTGTGCTTCAGTTCACACACACTCTCAACACGTGCGATTTCATTCATGCAATACTTTACTTTCCAAAGAATTCATCTGCATTTTCCATTTAAACTGAGAAGTGAAGTTATTATTCTTTCAGTTAAACAAAACAAGCACTTTTCAGAATAAAACCACTCCAAGTATATTTATGTATGTCTTGCTTTCTTTTTATTCAAGGTATCAGTAGTTTAGCAGCTATACTGCAAGGGAGTACATCCCAGTGGTTAGAACATTAGACATCAGAAGATCTGTGTTTTATTCTCAGTCCTGCTAGTGGCCTGCTGGGTGACCTTGGACAAGTCACTCCACCGCTCTGTGCCTCCATTTTCCCATCTATAAAATGGGAATAATACCACCTCCTCTGTAAAGTGTTTGAGATCTATGGCTGGACTAATTAATTAATTAATATTATTATTAATTATTAATTATTATTATTATTATAGGAAATCTTAGCTTGTCCCCCACACTACACTTATTCAAAATTTCATAAATGTGGCATTTTGGTTTAATTATAATAGAATAAAATGGAAGATAGGCAGGGAGATATCCTCAAAGTGGATACCGAGGCCGTCTCTACACAAAGGAGATTTTTCAATAATTGATAGCACCAGTGTTTGCACGATTGGAAGCCCTACTGCACATGGGCCACTGGCTGCCACCACTTTAAATAATGTCTGTTCTGAGCATGACTAATGGAAACAGCACTTAAAATGGTGACAACAGCTGGTATCCTATCTCAACAAGGGCTCCCAACACTGCTCATGCTGATGCAGCTGAACAAGTATGAGCAACGGTGGCAAATTTTTTAAAAATATCCTTAATGGAGACAAGGCCATAGTGTCCAATTCTGACTTACAAGTATCTCACTTGACATTCAAATATGGGGCTGAAGCGTCCTATTAAAGTACCATACATTGGAAACTGGGCTCCCTGTGCATTTTCTTAACTAGCCAAGTTGGTATCTCACTAAGAAGCTGGAAGTCCCTGGAAATACAGGGCTAGATGTTTTCACACACTACTGCACATTACCCTTAGCAGTTGGAATTCCAGTTCTTGGGATGAAAGCAGGTAGGCACAGAAAACAAACAGATACAGACACATTGCAGCAGGAAAGGTGGGGAGGGAAGAGACAGCAAACCAAAACCCATACAGCTCATACAAAGAGGTTTTTATTAGGACTGCTAAAATTCAAGTTGCTTTTAAATACCCAATTTGCTTGGCACCTTCTTCAAAAGCATAGTAGCAAAACCATGAACTCACAAGAGGAGGAAAGTGGTTTCAGTGTTTAACTCCTATTTCTGTTTTTGGAACTTTTACGTCTAGTCACACACAAAAAGCTATTTTTAAAAAAAGGTAGATTTTAGTTTGCAGGGAAATCGATGACACTTCTCACAACTGTCAGCCAACTTTATTTACATTGCATGCATGCGCACAGAGATACCAAGAGAAAAAAAAGAGAGAAAAAGAAGAGGTGTCCGTTTTGTTTTCAATGGGGCATTCATCTGGAATTATGTGAAATTAAGTCAGTTTAACATGAATTGGCTGGTTCATGTAAAAAAAATTCACTTAACACCCCTCTGCTCCCCAACAGCCCAAACTTACTTTCTTTCAGTCTCTGGTGTTGACACAGTACTACTGAGGCCAAGTGATTCCTGTAAGGGAAGATACATTGCCATGAGTGCAGACAGAACAACAAGCTTTACCCAACTGGTGCAAAATATCAAATTAAAAAAAAAATCCAAAACAAAAATAGATGATTAAAGTCATTGTGCTTACTTCAATCTGGGACCGCAGCTGTAGCGATGTGGGGCTGGCATCGGGTTTCTCCTAAAACAGAACAGATGTCGGGTTAATGCAACACCCAAATGAGGCAGCATTCTCCAGAAAAACAAATATGGAGTTAGATGAGAAAAGAAAAAGGGGACATGAACAGAACATTGAAAAATCCCACAACCTTTCATATAGGAAGCATTAAGCTTTCCAGTGGAATCGCTCTCTGAAGAAGCACTGAAATACTCAAGTAGAAGCCAATTACATACTTATTACAGATAAATGTAGCACAATGTAAGGCTTATACACAGATATGGGTTAAAATAATAATAAAGGAAACATAGGTGAGTAGTCTTCAAGGGATAATCAACATTTGCCACATACTCCTACATGTGGACTGCCAATCTCCTGAGCTTTCTTTCCTCTTTCAGAGCCACCTGACCCTTGTGATAATGTACGTTTACTTGCAGTATATCATTCAGCCACTAGATGTCTTCATATACAGATTTCCAGATAGAGTGTGATCCTTGGTAAACAAGGGAGACAAAGCTGGAACTCAAGCTGGATGGAAGTCTGTCTGTGTTGACAGAATGCTGTAGTTTTCTTTAATAAATGCCTCCTGTTTAACATAGCCTGTGCTGCAACTTATTGTGACATCCCCTACTTCTTCCAACCCTGAACTGCAACACACAGGATTAAGTATGGGCTTTAAAGGGGTTATGTTCTCATCAGAACCCTAAAATGAAATTAATTTGCTGCAACTATTGAAGAAAATTATTTGTGGACACAATACTGATGTTGAGTTTCAAGAATTTTTTTTAAACCAATTACAAAGGGATATATATGATCAGTGGATCAGGCCCATATTGTCCAATTTAAGATTTTATATCAATAATTTAAAGTGTACCTGTTGTACACTTTAAGTGTAACAGGGGGCTTAATCCTGCTCCCATTGAAATCAAGGGTAAAACTCCAGGTGGGATTGGGAAAAAGTTTGCAGTCATATGTCACTGGAGGTAAATCTAACTGTTGGCGCCTCATTCATCTGAATGCAAAACAGTGGGGGAAAGCACTTTGCATGGCATGACTATGAATCTTGGAGCAAATTCTGGTCCTATTGAAGCCAGTGAGAGTTCTGCCATTGATTTCAAATAGTTGTTACTGTACTCCAGGAAATGACTAAGATCTAACAAGCAAATTACATGACATACACTCAAATCAAAGAGTGAAAAGACCTAGCATGTCAACTTGTTCATCCCTGAATATAGCAGGGTTATCTTTTTATGGCATATTATCCAATGCAATAGTTAATCTAGTTTTAACTCTCTTTTCTATCTCGAAATTAACTAGTTTCTATGTCCTTAGCCTAAAGATAAAGAAGGGAAATGTATCTAGAGAAGAGAGTAATAAGAAAATAAGATTCAATTAAAAAAAAAAAAAGGTATTAGTGTAAATTGACCTGAAATACTTTAGGGTTAATGCTTCCAGAAAATCCACAAAATCCAGGACAAAACTCAATGCCACTCTAATAGAACTCATTCAAATGGAGACCAGCGTCTACTATTGGAGACTGTAGTATAACAGGATAGTCCCCAACCATATCATGGCACAATGAGATAACAGTATTATGTTAGACGATAGTCATGATCTACACAGGGTGTAACACGATATAGTAACTTTGTTATAACATGGTTTGGTCTGTTCTGTGCTGGTTGCCTTGGCTTTGTTATTTTAATATTGTAGACAGGGTGTAAGTGTCAGCATATAAAGGGGGCCAGACTCCAATGGAAAAGTCCTTCCATCTACTTTAATAGTTGTTGGGGGCTCAGGATACTCTGCAAAGGTAACAGGTCAAGAAGCCAAAACCAATTATTGAGAATCAAAAGGTACTGGGAAAAAAAATCATTTCCCCGCAGGGCTGCCTGGGATGGGGGTGGGGAAAGAGGGGCAATTTGCCCCAGGCCCCAGGCCCCGCAATCCCTGGCCCAGTGGCGGTCCGGGTCTTCAGTGGCATTTCGGTGGCGGGTCCTTCAGTGCTGCCGAAGACGCAGAGTGACTGAAGGGCCCCCCCCGCTGCCGAAATGCCGCAGAAGACCCGGACCACTGCTGGGTGAGTACAAGCGCCGCAGCTCCCCTGCTTTGCCCCAGGCCCCCTGAATCCTCTGGGCGGCCCTGTTTCCCCATACCACTACCTAGTGATTCTGATTTTCTCATTAAAGTAGAGGTATGGTAGTCCCCATTCCCCCATTACTTCTATCAAAAGAGAAATCAAACAAGTTTTCCAGCCAGCAAGGCAGCAGGCACATTACTGCAAGTCTTTCTCCTTCACTCTCCCACTGACCTGAAGGCCAAAAAGGAAGGAAGGAAGGAAGGACGGACGGACGGACGCAAGCAACAGTAAACCTACTCGCAACACAGCTCATTCAAGCCAGTTTTTCCTCCTCCACCCACGGTCACAAAGACAACACAGAACATTTGACCAGTATGGGCATGACTGCATACAGCCAGTCAAAGGAATCTACTATGTGCCTGAAGTGCATTTGTACCCCTGCCTCTCAGCAATAAATATTTGGTATTTCATTTATTACGTGTATGAAGAAGCAGCTGCTGCAAATCCTTTTTAACAGATTTTTTTTTAGAGTATAATTTAGAAGGCCACATCCCTTTTTTCTGCCACTCAAAGGGATCCTTTTACTTGCCCTAGTTCACTGTAAATTGTAAATGGAGGGTGGAAAAGTTTTTTGTATTTTTTTAAATCTCCTGGAGAAATAACCAGCTGCATCCTGCGTTTCAAAATCTTGACTCTCTTCTCCCTCTCTTCTCTCATTTATGCCATTAGCCTCCTCTGCCACCTTGGTCTCTAAAGCTGCACTTGTCCCTGGCAGCACTCAAAGACAAATAACTTAAGAAATTTCTCTATCATCATTATTCAAGAGTCTTCAGTCCTAATTAGAATGAAATGGTATTTTTTCTGTGCAGACAAACAAACAATGATGTTGGGGAGAAGAAGGGTTTAAAAGTTAGGGTTACCATATTTCAACAAGCAAAAAAGAGGACGGGA